GAGTTATTTGTATGGTATTAAACGTGTTAGCTCAACGTTCAAAATGTGTTTTCGTTCGCAAATTCTTAAGTGGAGATTACTGTCATCGAATTCGACTTCTAACCGCTTGTCTATTTAGAGTACTTCTTGATTTATTGTAATGGTCATATATAATCATTGACCTTACATCATATTTAAGTCGGTAACTTTATTTTGGCTACTAGGGTTGTATTATATGAAAGCTCTATATTTTTGTCAACTAAACTTATACTTGATGTTATGATTATGTAGCTATGATTTGGGTAAATGATCTAAAAGATGAATGGTTACCATGGATTTTCTTCTTCCACGATTAAGGGTACTGTTGTTGAAACTTCTACCTGGATTGAAGTGAAATTGATGGGCTTGCAATAGGAGGTAATGATCCAATTGAATAGACAGTGGAACCAAGTTAGATAGTAGAGTGTTGTTGGGTTTGTCAGTGAGAGATTTGTCTGCATAGGAACGATACCAGACTTGATCTTGCTCGGTTTGTGTCGATTTGAGATATGGTTGGTGGATAGGTGTAAGTTGAAGCTCTGACTCTTGGTTTCAGCTGGATGGATCAGCTCATGCATTTTTCAGCGAACCTTCTCATTGCTTTGTGTTCGAATTTTCTTTTCTTTAGAGTAAGCGTCTTGGCAGAAGCAGATGTCCATGGTTATCAAGTCAAGTTCAACAGGTGAAGTTCACGGACCACTTAGCATAACAAGGCTTTTTTTGATCAACGCTATTTTAAAGCTTGGTGGGATTAACGACCTATATTTGTATGATTATAGGATTATTCATAGGTTTGTGCGTGAATTGGGTTACTTTTTGAACCAGGGGTGTTTTTCGCTGTTTTTGTTTTCTTGTCCTGTTAGGGTGTACTCTTTTCCTCCACCTAGGTTTAGGGAGGTTTTTAATAAAGTTCCTAACTTGGACTCTAATTTCCATTAAATGAGTACTTTTTATGCTGAGAAAAAAGTCACACTACATCAAAAATGGTTTTTAATTGTGGATGTAGCGGTGTTTTTATAGCAAACGCCAATAATTTTTTTACATGTAGCAGTGTTTTTGGACAAACGCCGCGATATCCTAATGTATAGTGGCATTTTTGGGAAAACATCGCTAAAAACGCGTACGTTAGTGGCGTTTATGTAAAAAACGCCGCAATAGTCCAGATATATAGTGACGTTTTTTGTAAAAATGCCACTAAAATCTACAACTGTACTAGCGTTTAATTAAAAACGCCGCTATAAACGCATACGTTAGTGGCGTTTTAGAATAAATGCTGCTATATAACGACAAAAGGTGGCATTTTTTGCAAAACGCCGCTATAAACTTGTGCAATAATGGCGATTTTAATTAAAACGCCACAAAATCACGTACATTAGTGGCATTTTTTCATGTAAATGCCACGAAAGGACAATTATATCTCCCCCTTTCTCCTGCCCGATCCCTAATTCATTTTCCCTCTTCTTCCCTCTTCTCTGGTACAACATCTTCTCTGCCACACGCTATCTTTCTTGCCGTCAATCTTCTCGAGGTTGTCGTATTCTGCCTCAAATCTATTTCACTCACTCTCTCTAGTTCAAAAGGTAACTTCTCAATCCTTCTTGTTTCTCCTTTATTTTGCCAATTCAAAATCTTAGAAGCTTCATATTGAGTTGATATCCAGGGCTAGTCGGCATATCTAAAAGGTTTTACTTGCCTCTTTTTTTACCTGGCATATCTAAGAGGTTTCATTTGCCTCTTTTTTATGATTCTTCTATGGCTTTTGTTTATAAGATGATCCATATCTCTGAATGTTGATGCCATGTGAGTTGGTGACGCCATGAAAGCTCTTGATTCTACAAATGGAACAACTCTTGAGAAGAATGGGCAGATCTTATGAGTAGTATATGCGAAGAGCATTCTGGGCCCAAGATCAGGGACACTGGGAGCTTCACAGTCAATTAGTCTCGCAGCTGCTGCGATTAAGGCATCAATTTTTTCTCAACAGTTATTTCAAGATATCTTTAGTTTTAATGATGTATGCAAATATTTTTTTGGTCTAAGTGCAAAAATGTTTTTAGTAGCGAAAGTATGATAGTTTCTGATATTAAATACATTTATGTTTTTATTGCCAAGCATATAGGCTGGAAAACCTTCTCAGCTTAGGTAAGATTAAAACCTAATAAAGAATGTTCAAAACCAGGTATGTGAATATATATGGTCTAATTTTCCTGATTAACTGTGAGAGAAAAGTGTATAAAAACCAAGAACAAAATCATTAGCTCCAGCTTTGTTCTGCAGTTTACTTCTGATCACCTTTATCACCCACAAAATCATTAGATCAATGATCATGATGTTTGCATTTCAATGAAGTATCTTGGTCCTAGAACTGACTAAAAAAAGATTTTGGAGCACTTACTAACAAGAAAGTTGCTGATATGAATAAAAAAAGTATGGGAAGACATAAAGAAGCTTAAAATGTGTATGTGGAATTGAAAGAAAGAAGGCTCCATATTTGATCAGCTCTTTAACCGAAGTGAAAAGAATAAAGTAACAATGAGAAATACAAAGCTATAATTAGTTGTAAAAATGTTGATAATCATGCCACTATATGGTGTCACTGAAAAGTCAATTGTGTTCCAGTATCTTCTAAACTCCAATGGTATAACCAACCTACATGGCATCAACATTCAGAGGTATGGAACATTCAGATGTCAGTGAAGGTGTGCTCATTTCGTAGGCGAATTGATTTTTAGATGTTTCTTGATTGCATTTTCCTTGTTTCTTTGGTTAAATTCATTGCTTTTCTTAATAATCTGCTGTTTTGTTTGTTTGTTTTGAACTTCATTCCAGTATTGTTATTTCCATGTTTGTTATTGAAGTTGGTTAACCTTATAATCGTAGTTGCTTTTGAGCATTCGATTCATGCTTTTGAGCATTCGATTCATGGTTATTTTGGCATGTCTGTACAGTAATCATACACACTCAATGCAAAATTTCCATCATACATATTTTATTTTTCTTTATAAGAGATATATGTGGTCAATGCCATGTTTGTTCCCTTATTTCAATCATGAAACACTTGTAAGTTTACACTACAACTATCTATTCAATTTCTTCAATCTTCCTTTCATGCATCATAAGGTGCCACTTTGCTAATAACTCCTTATGGGGATTATGGTGCTACTAATGTCCAATACTCATGGATTACATTATTTTCACATCACATTTTTTCTCCATTTCAGTCTATCTTAAATAAGAGGAGTTGTTTTCTAACTAAGCTTGATTCATTGTACTCAAATTTTGTCATAGAGATAATCTTTAACATGGGTTAAAATATGTTTAAAAAATTCAGCTTTGGGAGACAAATTTGGAATGCCATTACAGGACTGTAATTAGCTTCACCAAATCACCAATGTTCGATTGTTATATCATAAAGAACAAATCTTCGATTTCCCTTGCACCCGAAAACTATTTATGCTTTAATTATTTCTAGAGAGAAAGACATTTGACATAGAGAAAGACATGCATTAAGTAACTCGACCACCCATATGTATGGACAGATTAAGAAAAATTATTGTCAGAATGTCCACGTGGTGTATTTTCTCTGATGACAGATCAAATTATCGTTGGGAGGCTTTCGGTCCGTTCTTGCTCAAAACCCGATGATGACCCGAAAGGAACTCCTATTGCTCCATACCCTTCCATGGCCGATCTCCTACTTCAAGGTAATAATCTCTGAATCTTTTCGCCGCTATATTTTTATTTTGTACTCTCAAATTTCATAGATTGTACACATGATGTTCGAAGCTTATTGAGAACGATGATAGAGGAGTGGATAAATACTCGATGTTTAGAGTCGAATTAGGGAAATATGTGGCGTTGAAAAAATCTTCAATTGCAAAAGCATTATCTATCCTTGATGAAGACGACGCTGTATCTACTGTTACTCCAAGTAAACACTTCTCTCTTTTACTTTAATTTTTTTGTTTAATGTTTGATTCAGTTCCCAAGCCACCTTCAATCAAGTTTCATACTGTAGGTGGAAGGTCGTTATCTATTTCAAGTGAAGCACTGAAGCGCGCAAGGAGTCTTCTTGGTGAACCAGAGCTAGGGGATTTATTTAGTGAAATGGATGAAGAGCTTCTCCATATACAGATTACATGGAGGAAAAACTTAACGATGCTTCATCAAACAAGGAAAACTGTTTTATTACTTCCTTTCCCCAAGAAGGAGCAATGAAGACTAAATTCTAGTGAACAATATTTTTTTAATTGAAAGTGAAAGAACCTAGACTAAATTCTAGAGAACAATGTCAAACTACATTACATTTAATTTTAATGTTTATAAATTTTAATTTATTTTGTTGTTAAGTATTTTTTTGCATAACTTGTGTCTTAATTAAAATGTATGGTTGTTGTTAATTAGATAAAGCTACATGATATTAAATTTAGGTGATGTAGAGCAGAAATGAAATATGCAAAATCAATTAATCTTAGCTAAAGAAAGGTAATTAGCGGCATTTGTATCCAAAAATGCTGCTATAGATTTGACATTTTTCTGTGTTTGTTCCAAAAACGTCACTATATATCTCGACCTTTTGCGGCGTTTTTGGATAGATCTGACCTTTAGCGGCGTTTGTTCCAAAAATGTCGTTATATATCTCGACCTTTTGCTGCTTTTGTTCCAAAAACGCCGCTATAGATCTTGACCTATTGCGGCGTTTTTGTTCTCAAACCTGCTAACTTTAGCGGCGCTGCTATGGCCGGCGTTTTTCTATCGCTGCAAGTTCTTTTAGCGGCGCTTAAAAATGCCGCTATAGGACTAAAAAAAGGCCGCTGAAACTCTATTTTGCTGTAGTGTCATCTTAGTGATTCTATGTGATATTTTTTGATAAATAATTTTGCGTGATACTTGAATCCTACAAATTCAGCCTGCGTCATATTAGGGTGTTACAATAACACAGACAATGTATTATTGAATGTCTAGATTTATATAAAACACTTTAAATATGAGATCACCCTTAAAAGTAACATAAAGTCACAAACATATGCTGCAGACTGGAGAACTGCCAAGATTCTAATAACACCTTATTACGTCACATAAATCAGGTAAATTCTTAATTTCCTCAAGGTGAAACTGATACCGGATCAATGAGCAATGAAGCAACCCCATCCTTTGTAACTTTCCCAACATGTGTGTACTGGTCATCTCCATCCTTGTAAAGAAACTCGATGACCCTCGTAAGATTGAGGATTCGTCTGAGAACTGGCTTCGGAAAAACCTTCGTCGTCTCACTAAATATCATCTCGTAGTTTATATCTTTCCAAGCATTCTCCACTTGCTTCTTCAGTTCACTGCATGCCTCTTCTTCCGAAACTCCATGTTGTCTCATGTAACATTCAACGGCCGATCGAACGTGTCCTCTCTCTTGCTCAAACTACATGTATTTATATATAAGTCACTGAAATTACCTCTAACCAAATTCGAAAAAACAGAATGTACCTTATGCGAAGCGATATCGTCCATGAGACGGCCAATGACGGATGAAGCAGCGACAATTTTCGGGTTGCTAAAAGCCCATTTAAAAATCTCAGGTGTCACCGAATCTTCCATTTCAATAAAAGATGTGATTGTCAAGTGGACATGGCCTGCTGTTACAAGTGCGTTCCTCATGTACTCCTCCATCGTTGGTACATACTTCTCTTGGTACCATTTGGTTTCCACAAAATAAGATTCCGATAATTGTGTAAACTATGCAATAAAAAAAAGTCATTAGCTTGGGTAACATTAGAAGATGGGGAATGGGAGGTTGTGAAGAATTTACCGTGTCTTTTGCGTATTGGAAACGATATGATTTTCCTTGCTTTGTCATCGCTTCCTCCAATTCTTCATACAAATCTAACATTGTTTTGTAGAAGAATTTCATGTAATCCGGGAGTTGATCTAGACAATCAGCATCCCACCTGAAAATCTAAAATTTATCACTAAATTGCCACATTAAATCAAACCTTCTTAAAGATATAGAATATTATATATATTCATGTGTAAATGTACAAGTTGTTGACCTCTGAATTGCAATCGTAAGGAGTTCAAGTTCTTCAAATTTGCCATATGCATCGTATATGTCATCCATAATTGATGTCATGAGTAGTATTTTTGTTAATATCTCTCTAGCGTAAGAGTATTGAGGCTCAAAGTACACTCCCAATATCCAAAAGTAACCTTCCACCGATCTATTTCGTATAAATGGAAGCTTTGTTTCGACATCTAAATCTTTCCACCACCTGAAATAAAACTCGTTATGAGTGAATTATTTGTCCTTATAATTTGGGTTAAATTTTAGTATTTGAATGAGTAATATATTGCCTAGAGATGTTGCTTAGCTCCTCCTTGTGTAAATCTTGCAACAAGTTGAAATCCAACTCTGCAAACTTCAACAACGTTTTGTCATGTGCAGCATCTTGTTGATAAATGGGTATGAATCGCCTAGCCTCCAACCTCGGCAAGCACTTGGAGATGGGTCGGTTTAGAGCATTGGAGACTAGGGCCGAAAGGGGATATTCGATAGTGCCTGCAGCTTTGGCTGACTGTAGATGACTGGTGGTGAAAACAAGGGCTTCATCGAGTATATCCTCACCATGTACACGTAAATGTGCAGCTTCGTATAATTCTAGCAAGCCTTTCACATCACTTGTTAAGGTGTTTTTGAAATTTCCTTCTCCATCTTTGAACTTGTTGAATATCTCTGCTCAATCCAAATAGGTATTGGTAATATCCAAAACTACGTGTAAAAATACAAGGGGGGAGTGGACTCACCACAGGGAACATTAAACCCATCCTCTCTAAGCAATCGAAACCGAAGAGAAGCAGTTTCGAGATGAGTTTGGTCTGGTTCGTAGTCTTGCTCATAGATATTGTGCAATGCTTCCTCTATCTCTCTTTCGAAATGGTAACTCACTCCTAACCGTTTGATTGTATCAATCAAATGTAATTTGTGAAGCAACTCATCATCCATGCCTTCCTTAACCATCCTCCTCACTTCTTCCTTCAATTCTCCGTGTTTTAGTGTAGCATTAGCGTCCTGCACAATTGTCAAAAAAAAACATACAAAAAAAGATTAGAGTTAACTATGCTTAATATGTTGGGGAATTGATATATCAATAGAAAATATAAATGAAAAATAAAAAAAATATGATAATTTGAAATTTTCAGAGAGAAGACTACTCTCGGCCATCCCCTGGGTCCAGCCTTGATCTAAATTCTTTACCATTTTAGATGGACATGAAAGGAAAGTGTTGCCCCAGACGCAGGGATGGAAATTGGCTATGGGGCGATTGTGGTTGGACATGGGTTGATGAGTTGAAAAAGGAAGCATTGATGAATAAGTTTGGGAAGACATTTCTTTGGATAATCGGTGCAGGCCAAATAGCTATTCAAGCATTGATGAAAATGTTAGTATCCTTGAAGTGCTTTATAGTGCGTGTTCGACGAATTTACTGATCTGTAAATGGGATTTGTGGCTTGAACTTCGATAGAAAACATAAGCAGTCCATCTACAAGTGAGGCATTGGATACGTCATAGGGTCTCAAAATCTGGGATTTTCCATTTTGAAAAAATGTTACAATTTTACTTTTAAAAACGTTGGAAAGATTATATTTTTTTATAAATAAAATGTCACGATTGTAAAGTTGTTTTGTGACATTGTCTTAGTTTCATATGTTTGAATTTCTTTTATTTTGTAAGGAACAATTGTAATATGGTAAGTTTTTATATTTTACAATTTTGCCTTATTATAAAATATTTTAAGGGTCTCATTCTAAAAAGTAGTACAAGACCTGCACATCTTTTGGGATGAGCTTGAACGTATGGCATTTAGAATTTTTAATGAAACCCGATTCAATTCAAAAAAATATTTTTTCTTAATTTCAATTTTTTTGGTTGTTCGAGTTATTTGAATCAATTCGATTAAGTTCTATGAATTTTGAGTTCGAAGCCAGTTTGAAATTTAAAAAATTTAAATAAACAAAACATCAAATATTAAAAGTAAAACTAAGTCGTTTTTGGTGTTAAACCTTAGCTAAATAATTTGATTATTTTATGATTTAGTCTCTGAATTTTTTTTGGTTCTATAATTACTTCTTCACTTTAAGTTTGTTTTTATCAAATTTGAAACATTTGTTCTTCAATCATTCTAGACGTGTAACTTCATTTTTTACAATTTAATCTCTCAACTTTGTATTTTATTCATTTTGATTCTCCGACTATAACTTTCTGCAAATTCTTTATTCCTATCAATTTTTTGACTCCTTTATACTCTCGTCAATACTTTATTCTCAAATTTTTTTATTAATCTGGAGTAAATATAAGGTAATATATGTTCAAAGAACATTCTCAACCATTTGACATTGAATGCTCAGATCCCTGACATTTATAGTGCTCGAACCCAAGACCTCAAGAAATAACAATTATTTTACCATCAAGGTCACTTGGTTCGTCCTTTATTCTCAAAATTCGTTATTTAAAAAATAACATAATAAATATAATATGTAATTTTAGATTGTATTTAACTTATTAATTAATATTACAAATCTTACTTACACATGTGAAAAATATATATATATTATATGGTATATGATGATTAGAGAGAATCACTTAAATTGGAACCAACCAATATCAAGATATTATAAATAATTACAATAAAATTTGAATGAAAATTGGACATGAATGTTATAAACTCGAACAAAAGAATTAAGTAAAATTTGAATAATAAATTAGTACTCAAATTGACTAGTTCAATTTTTTCTACTTGATTCGACTCAATTCGATTGTATACTCACCAGACTTGTCTGGTGGGTGTCTGGTGATGAGAGCCTATAATTGGGAGTTTGTGTTTTATGGTTTAGGTGATTCTATCTTCTGGGGTTTCTTGTTTGGTTTTATGAGTGGAGGAAATGTGTGTTTTATGGCTACTTGTTTGATACTTTGAAATGGAACAAACAAACGTAAACGAACGAATAACGTGTGGTCCAGAAAATAGAGTAAGTCTAATTTGAGATGGGACAAACTCGTCTGAAGTGGTCATGTAGCCACTCAGGCCACCGACAGTTGTTTCTCTTTCAAAATAAATGGCTGATATTGCTAATGCCACGTCTCTTTCTCCTTTTAAACGTGTTAGAAAGCTGATTTTCCATGTTATCAAAGCCAGAAACAAAAGGGGGGGAATTTCACCCAAAGAAACTGTCCACACAAAAGAGGTGAACTACCCTATGGTGGTATATAGATTTTTATAGTACTCAAAAATAACTTAATACATAATTTGACCCCTAAAGTATGACTTGATTTTTATTTTAGCCCTTGAAGGTTTTTGGTTAAATATGACTATGGAAGTTTTATTCTGTCACGTTATTAAAAATATTATATGAAAATTTTAGTCAATTAATGAGTTATATATATGAAGGTTAACTCAAACTCTTTTTTGGAGGGTAAGTTCCTATCTTATTTTTTATTTTAGGTCCATCTTCAGAGGTTTGAGTCCTTCTTCGGAGGGTAAGGTCTTCATCTTGTATGGTTGTAAGGAGATAAGGTTATGTGAATCTCCTGTTATGATGTTCGGATGATAGGTAGTTAATTTGCCTATTTTCTGCTTTTCCTTTTCAGATTATTAAGATGTAGGACAGATTTGATAATTGAATATTTGATCTTGATTCAATCTCATGAATTCCCTCATAAACGGTCTTATCCACCTTGTATTTTCAATGGATGACATTTACATTAAGTCCTCTTAACTAGGGATATTTATCGAGTGAGTTAATCACGAGTTGAGTAGTGCTCAACTCGTGCTCGACTTAATTCGATTCTCTTTAAGCTCGATAAAATTTTGTTCGTACTGTGCTCGTTAAAAAACTCATTGCTCAACTCTACTCGTTGCTCGTTAAGCTCATCGAAACTTTTGCCTTGTTTTTTAAAAAATATATGTAAAATCTAGTAATACTATATAGAGCTAAATATAAACATGAATTAACAAATTGAACAAAAAATAATCAAAATAGTGTGTGAATCAATTCAAAAGTTTAAATCCAAAGTAATAATACACCAAATTAATTTATTACAACCATTTTTTGAAAAAAAAGGTTTAACAATATATAATCAATGCTATAAATAAGACAACCAATATCCCAAAAACATCATAAAAAATTAACAAGTTACTCGTAAACTTATCGAGTAGAGTTAGACCTTGATCGACTCAACTCGACTCTTCAAGGTCTCGAGTCGAGTGTTTACTGAGTTTTAACGAGCCAAATTTGACCTGCTCAACTCAATTAGCAACCTTATTATTGACCATGTTGGTGACAATTGCATCTGCTGAATTTTTTTTTTCAAAGTTAAAATTGTTGAAAACCTATGTGAGTTCGTCAAGTCATGAGAAAGCTAGAATGGTCTAGCCAAATGGTGCTAAATGGTACCAAGAGAAGTATGTACCAACCATGGAGGAGTACATGAGGAACGTACTTGTAACCGCAGGCTATATCCTCTTGACAATCGCATCTTTCATTGGAATGGAAGATTCAGTACTGACACCTGAGATCTTTAAATGGGCTTTTAGCAACCCGAAAATTGGTGCTGCTTCATCCGTCGTTTGCCGTCTGATGGACGATATCGCTTCACATAAGTTACTTTCTGTTTTTCGAATTCCGTTAGAGGTAATTTCGGTAACTTACATATATAAATACATGTAGTTTGAGCAAGAGAGAGGACCGTTCCTCGGCTGTTGAATGTTACATGAGACAATATAGAGTTTCAGAAGAAGAGGCATGAAGAAGCAAGTGGAGAATGGTTGGAAAGATATAAACTACGAGGTGATATTCAGTGAGACATGAACTCATCGAGCTGGAGGTTTCAAGTGAGAATCAAAGCTGCCAGGAGAAATGGGCATGAATGGGGTCGTCGATGGCAGGTCGATTGGGCCTAATCTATCGGAGACCGAAGACAGTGGTTCGGCTTGTAGAGGGGTCATTCTAAGATCTAAAATTACTGAAATTAACAAGCAAATATTTGAATTAACTAATATGGCATTCTTCCGATATTATTAAAGTCTCGAACTTGAAATTTTGAGGATGTAATAATATTAAATACTCAATATGAAAACATTGTTGCTCTTGAAATTTGAAACACTTGGGAAAAGGTTACCAACCAAAACATACTTATTTAGCATAGAAATCAAACGAGGACACAAGGAGAATAAGAGAATAAGCTCCATACAAATATTGAGATTTGAACTCTGAATTTTTAGCTGTCACTTTTCAAAAGTGACTCTAAATTTATTTGAATCTTAAATTCTCAAATCAAACTGAGATCGGATCAATCAACAGCATAGTGATGCTAGTTTTTGCGGATTCACCAACATGTGTATAAGCATCTTCGTCCTTGTAAAGGAGATCAATAACCCTTGCAAGGTTTAAAACTCGATCAAGAGCCGACTTTGACACTGCCGTTGGTTTCAAGAACTCTTCATTTATATCCTTCCAAGCATTGTTTATTTGCTTGTAAAACTCATCGTATGCCACTTGTGCTGATGCGCCGTATTGATTTATGTAGCACTCCACGGCAGAAGGAGCATGTCCTCTCTCTTGCTCAAACTACAAAACGTATAAAATCGAACCGAAATCAACACAAAAATTACAGTTCATAAATTTCTGAAGAAAATGAAGCAAATAAATGTTATACCTGGTGACCAACAACATCATCCATCAGCCTACAAATAGTTTTTGAAGCTCGAAGAATCTTGGGGTCATTAAATGCCCAAATGAAAGTCTCTTTTGTTATGCTATCTTCCATGCCAACGAAAGATACAATTGTAAGCATCGGATAGCAGCAAGAAACATATGCAACAGACAAATACTCCAACAGTGTTGGCATGTATTTTTCATGGAGCCATTTGGCCTCAGTATACTGGGCTTGACACGCTTGTTTCATCTATTAACAAACAAACAAATACCCAGTTAGCAAAACCATCTTAAATTAAGTAAATTTCCAATACTAAAGAAAAAAAAGTTAGATTATATATACCGCTTCTATTGCGAGTTGGACACGATATGATTTTCCTTGCTCGGACATCAAATTATCCATATCTTTAAAAACATTTATTATTTCACTATACAATAATTTCATATAGCCCGGAAGTTGATCTATGCCGTTGATATCCCACCTACAATATGTCAGCAATTCAAACGTCTAACTCTTTCAATAATCCAATAACAAAACTTGTAATGATTTGATGTGAAGGTGGATATATTTTCTGAGGGACCTGTGGATTGCTTCTGTAAAGAGTTCAAGTTCTTCTGGTGTGCCATATGCATCATAAGTATCATCAATAATTGATGTGAGGTATATTACTTTGGTCATAAAAGTTCTAGCAATGGAGTAATGGGGTTCAAAGTACACTCCATTTATCCACATATAACACTCCACCAATCTATCTCGTGCAAACGGAAAATTGGTTGC